TCATTTGTTTTTATTAGATGCAGGTGTTTTCTGCACTTCAGCTGGGAGCACTTTCCCTTTTCAGCCAATTTCAGATCTACTTTGTGTCTCAGTCACCTTTTGACTGTGATACTGGAGAGGCAGTGAAAGAGAGAGAGAAGGAGAGAGATACTGGGTTTTGCTGCCTCAGCAGATGTGTGTTAAAGTGTTTTAGTGATTCAGCCAGTGCGTCTGCCTGAGGCCAAAGGAGAGGCATTGTCTGAATCTAAAACAATTAATAACAAAAAAACAATGTGGGCAGCACGGAGCGGGGGAAGGTGAGGTGGAAAGTGAGCGATTCACAGGGTTATTTCCAGCTTGCAGAGCACCTTGACAAGATCTCCAGCCACTTACAGAGGCAACCCTTTAAGCCCACCCTGTCCCCACCAAGACACAGAAGCCTCATCAGCCCTGTTGCATAGACAGGGCAAACTGATGCTTCTTTTGCAACTCACCCCCAGTCATCCAGCATCTCTCCCCAGAGCCAGACTGCACTTTCCCAATACCCCAGGGAAGCAGGAACATAACACAGGCCCATGACTGTGCCATGCATGGCCAGTGGAGCAGGAGAGTCACAGCACCTGCTCGTTGCTGGGCCATGCACGAGGGGTGGAGGGAGGGAGGGACACTGAACTGTTTGCCCCACACTCAGGGACTCCTCTCAGGTTCTCTGAGAGCCACCAGCAATGCAATGACCTCTGCTCTCCACTCTTGTCAGAAAGGTGCAAAGGGGAACCTCAGTTGTCTGCTCATGATGAAACATCTGTCTTTTCCCCGTTAGCAGAAGATTTCTAATTTCATCTGTGCTCAGGCAAGAGGAATTTGTCCCCTGAGCTATTTCTGCCTCTATCAGTTAAACACCCAGCATAACCTTTATGCTTCAGTCTCTGTAAAAGACTCCAAAGTCCTTCTGATGCCCAGGATCTGATGTCCCTCACTTAATGAATCCCCCCACTTTGCACCCCAAGCTGATGCGTGCCTCCCCTGGGAGATGGAGGCACCCCAGACACCACTCACCACTGGAAATCTTGGCAGCTGAGCCCTGATAATGTGAAACAGAGCCAACACAGCCCTGCAGAACACCCAGGCGCTGATCTGGTGGGGGGAGACTCCATTTCTACATGTGGTTTAAAATTGATACCCCCATGAGGCATGTTAGAAAGCAAAACATTGATGCTGTCTTCACTGGAAGCATCGGTTGCTTTGTTTTTTTAATGACACAGAAAGCTGCTTGCAAAGAGATAATTTCATTCAGCCTAGCCCTTGCTGGATGTGGAAGGAAGTCCTTGGAGGTGACTCTCCAATGTATCCAGTATGCCACCTAGCCCTCGCTAGCTCTACTACATCCACTTCTGCAGGATGGGCTGATGGATCCTGCTGGAAAGGGGCTCACAGCATGAAGCTGTGAAAACTTGTTAGGGTTATCATCGCAAGCAAGAAGGCACTGTCCAAAGGAAGAACAAATATATCGGGAAGAAATCGCATTTTACTTTTGACACTCAATGCAGTCTCCATGCAAAGTGAAATATCATGTTGATATCTGCACCTCCTGCTGTTGCTCATCTCTCCTTTCTGCACTTCTGCCTCAGACTTGTCCCATAAGTTCCACTTCTGTTGCTTGTCATTTTTTCCTCCAAGAATTGAAGTGTTGGCTTTTTTTTTCAGAGCGATGCTTCAGGCACCTGACTTCTCAACTCTTTTGTGGGATTTAATACTTGCTCATGAAAAAAAATTATACATTCTCCTGTAAATGCATTATTTTGCTAATGTGTTTCAGATGTACAAAAACTGGAATGTGGTTTTGAATGGAGAAGAAAAAAAAATATCTCACTCTTGTATCTGTGATTCAGCTCCTAATCTTTCAAGATTGCCTGAACTTTTTTGATGTTCTAAGTGCCTCCAAAACACAGATTAGCCCAAACTGATAAAAGTATGTGTTCCATCCTCTTTATCATACCCAGGAAAGTCAGTGCTTTTGCACATTATAGAGAGTATCATAATGAAGTGTGACATATCTGAGATGTTAGGAACAGTAACTGCTTTCCAAATAATTATTTCTCTTTTGCAGCAGAGCCATATGTAACACTTAGAGCGTATAGCAATGAAATACACTGGAAGACACTAATAGAAACCTTGGTTTCCTCTGAACACTCTCTGTTCACTCCCTCGAAACAAGAAAGCATGTCTTATAAACATAAAACATGATTGTGATCTCCACTGGAAGAGCACAAGCCAGGAGAAATGTGATCTTTGTTAGCTGCAGGCTCTCCTACAGCTCACGATCAGCCATACGCCGCACACTGTTCCATGGCTGTCTTATGTTCCCAGGGTAAGGGGGGGGGGGGTGTTAGTGTCAGCAAAAAATGCCATAAAAATGGGGAGCATGAAGAGCACGTGCCAGAGGGTCAGCTGCAACTCCATCCCACTGCTGGGCTCAGTGGTTGAACACAGGTGGTGGTCCAAAGATGCTAGGGCTGAAACTACTTTCATAAAATGGAAGAAAATCTGCCATCAAGGCACATCTCATGGCTAAAATCTTGTAATCTTCTGGCTGAGGATATGACTCAGTTTCCAGGTGAGCTTTTGTGGATGAATGTCCTTGCAAAACAGCCTAGGAACAAAATGAGGGTGGCTGCAAGACAACTTCACACCACCTGGATTTTGGCCTGAAAGCTGGAGAGAAAGTTCCCGGACAGCCCTAAATTAGAGCAGCTTTCCCCGGGATCCCTTACAGGATCTCTGCCCCATGGCAATCCAGCCATGCCCAAGCCTTCCATGCCAGGGCTTGCAGCTGGGCTTGATGGAGGCAGTTCTCTACACGCCTCACCATTTTGCGTCTCGCAGGTTGGAGTGGGAGTGAAACCTCTCCTCCACCCCTCCGGTACTCTTGCTGTCTCTGTACCAAGTATTAATCCAGGCCACACTGTTTCTTACAGGGTGGTGGAGAGAATGAGGAAAGCAAATTCTCTCCTGCCCTAAGCTCTCTCACAAAGTGTGTCCAGAACTCCAGGTGAACAGTGCTCACTTACTCTCTGCCTGGTGCTATTTTCTGCAAAGCACCCATTCAGACCAGTGGCAGATTCTCATAAAAACCAGAGGCAGGATGCAATTAATGTGCTGTAAAAGTCCTAAGTGTCAACTAGAGAAACCATTTAAAAACACTTATAGATAAAATCCCTGGGGGGTGCTTTTCTTATGTTAAAGGTGCCTATTTTTTTGCAATTAACTGTGATCTAAGCAGAGATTCAGTTAGTATTAAATAAAATCTCTGGGAAAACTCTTGGTAGAAAGAAAACAAAACAAAAAAAACCATACAACCAAGCTTAGCAATGTGGCCTTGTTTTTTTGAAGGGCAAGGGGTAGGAACAGAAGGGATTTGATCTTTACTACTGGAGTAGAAAGACAGTAAAACAGGAACACCTGAGAGGTGAAACAAAAGCCTTAAGCATGGAAATTTTGGAGAAGAAGGAGTTAATGCTTTTAAGCAACCATCCGTTCTCTTACCATAGATAAGGGTGCATTCTAGTGGCAAAATCCATGCAATGCAGCTGCACAGATGACTGATCTAAAAAGAAACCTGGGGAATATGAAGCTTTGGAGGAGTGCGTGCCTATGTGGATGGGGGGTTGACTTGATTCGCATGTAAACCTCACCCAGAACAAGCTGATCCCTTTGAATTTCCCACTGCCCTGGTAGATGCCCCTGTGCTTGCTCTTCTGAGCGGACTCCCACCCTTGGCTCAGCGGGGTTCAGCTCGTACCCCTGCTCCAGGTGTAACCCCTGAGCACAGCTGCCGGGGCGGCCGCGGGGCTGCACACCCCAGTGCTGGAGATTCCCTTCCCCACGCTTCCAGCTTCCCCGCTCCTAGCGATGAATGACAACTAAGGGAGGCAAGGGAGAGGGACCAGGGCCGGGAGAACTGTAACCCTGAGGAATGCAGCGGTGGTAGAACAAAAGACAACAAACCCCAAGCTGCCCAGGACAGGGGATGAGCACTGCAAAGTGCTTTTTTTGTTGTTGTCGTTTCTTTCTTTCTTCTTCCTCCCCATTTTGTGCAGTGCAAGAGGCAGAAGAAGAATGAGCTAAAACGTGCAAATTGGACTTCACATGGCAAAATTCCCCTTGTTTTCTGGCATGCCCTAAGCAACAGCGAACTTTTCCAAAGAGGAATCTAACACAGCTCTTATAAGCAACCCAGCCCTCCCTCTTGCTCACTGTCCGGCCGCGTTAACCCTTGCTGACTGGGGGTGTCAGGGGTGCATCCTGGCACTGGGCAAAGCCTCACTGCGTTTTTAAACCTAGCCCAGGGGCAGAGGGACAGGAGAGGAGAGCCGGGCACCCTGCACACACAAAGGCTCCTTCCTGGACCCAAGAGTAGCTCCCTGGCAGGCACCCAGCCATCTCCTCCTGCGCTCACCTTTGGAGCTGGTGGGTGCTGTGCACACCGGCTCCCACTCAGAGGGTTCCCAGCCTTCCAGCTACCCAGGCAGCAGATTGGGGTCCTTGCCCCACCAGCACAGGGGACAGCATGCAGGATCAGGCCCTGCTAACTCAGTTCCCTACTTCCTCCCCAAACTCAGAGCCCTGACCTCTCCCATCCAGACTCCCTGCAGCCCAGACTGCCCTGCAACCCAATGGCAACCACTTTGCCTTTTTTTCTTTTTTCCCCTCCCTTTAACCCGTGAAGATCTGAACTTTCCCCCCACCCCGATCGTCGGCTTCCCCCTTACCCCTCCCCCTCCCCTTGTCTCTCCTCATAATATTATCCTTGATCATTGCCCGGGGTTTGAAGCCCAGAAGTCAGGAGCTGCGCACCCCACCCCCACGGCCCGAGAGCGCACTGATAGGGCCCTCGCTGCTGGCACCTAGTCAAGCTGAGGTGTCATTGGGATCTCAAATTGCAGCGAGGGGCTGGCAGGCAGCCAGAGGCAGTCTATTTAAAAGACAGCCTGTTCTGCAGTATTCAGTCTCTTTAGAAACTTCTCCAGGGGAAAAGTGTTGGGAGATCTACAAAGTGGATTTTTTTTTTTCCTCTCTTTTCTTTTTTTTCCCCTTCCCCCTGATTTTTTACCGCTCCTCTGCAGACTTTGCAACAAAACACTCCAACTTTGCAGAAAAGTTTTTTGGTTTTTTTTTTTTTTCCTCTTTTGGTCTTTTTTTTTTTTCTTTTTCCTTTGCAAATCTTGGAAGAGGAAAGCGGGAGAGTTGAACAGAGCCGATCGAAACACAACTTTGCTTCATACCAAGCTTCCCAGCAGCTCGCTGCGTCGGGAGAGACTTTTTCTCCTCCTGCAGAAGAAGAGAGAGGGAAGGGGAGCTCTGCATCCCCTCTTCCTTCTCCTGCGTTGTTGGGGTTTTTTTGCCCTCTTGAATGCTTTGATGCAATAATAGCAGGACACTGGTTTTCAAGGAACTTTGCTCCCTTCTCAACCTGCCTCCTTCCAGTCCTTTGGGAAGTGTGTGTGTGTGTGTGTGTGTGCGCGCGTGTGTGAAATCGCCGTCCCACCTCCCCAAACCCCCCTGCTCCCCCACTCCTCCCCTGCAACCTGTAGGCTGTGCAACCCCTGCAGGCTTCGCTCCCTTTCCCCCCTCCTTCCCTCCCCCTCTCTTTTTGCGCTCCCGCGGATCGCCGTGCGAATTCCCCCTTTCGAGGCTAGAAAAAGCTGAAAGGAGAAAAAGACAAAAAAAAAAAAAAAGACAAAAAAATCAAACCTAGACGCCCCCACTCTCCTAACGCCAAAAGAAAAGCGGGAGGGTCTCGCACCCCGAGAATAACCCTCAGAGTGGGACGCCTGCAAGCAGGGGCTGCGCTTTCCTTTTTGAATTTTATTTTTTAATTTTTTTCTTTTTTCTTTTTTCTTTTTTTTTGTTTCCTTGCCCCAGAAGGGGCAAGCGGAAAACCAGCGCCGCCCACCCCCGGCAGCTCCCCGCGCCCCGTCCCGCAGCATCCCCGCCGCGATGCTGCTGCGGCTCCTGGTGCTGCTGGGCGCCTGCCCGGGGCTGTCGCGGTGCCTGGGCTCCTTCGTGCAGTGCGAGCCCTGCGATGCCAAGGCGCTGTCGCTCTGCCCGCCGCCGCCGCTGGGCTGCGAGCTGGTGAAGGAGCCGGGCTGCGGCTGCTGCCTCACCTGCGCCCTGCCCGCCGGGCAACCCTGCGGCGTCTACACCGAGCGCTGCGCCCGCGGGCTGCGCTGCCTCCCGCGCCAGGGCGAGGAGAAGCCGCTGCACGCCCTCCTCCACGGCACCGCCGTCTGCCTCAGCGAGAAGAGCTACCGCGAGCAAGCCAAGGCTGGTGAGTGACCCCGCTCCTCCATTCGCAGCCTTCCCGGATGCTTCTCCGCCTTGCCGGCGCCTTTTCCACCTTTTCCGTCTCTCCGCCGGCTTTTTCCACCCCACTGCCAGCTCCCGGCTGCGTTTTCCCTCGTTCCGGGTGCTCTTCCATGACCCTCCGCTTGCTTTTCCGTCTTTCCGGCTCCCTTTCCATCTTTCCGCTTGCTTTTCTGCTCCCTCCCACTGGCTGCTCTTCCCTGCCCCCGCGGCTGCTTTTCCATCTTCCCAGATGCTCTTCCATGCCCCCGCTTGCTTTTCTGCCTTCCCGGTTACTTTTTCATCTTTTCTCCCTCTTTTCCATCCACACCCTCCCCCCCTGCGCTTCCAGCCCCCTTCCCCCCAGTGTGCTTTTCTGCCTTCCCGGCTCCTCCATTCCCCTCCACCGCCACCAGCTGCTTTTCCATCTTTCTGGCTACTTTTCTGCCTTTCTGCCTGAGTTTTCTCTCTCGCACACACATTTACACACCCTGGCTGCTGTTCCATCTTTCTAGCTATTTCCCCATTCCTTTCCCTCCCTACCCCCTCCACCAGCAGCTATTCCAGGCCTCTGGTTGCTTTTCCATCTTTTCCATCTGCTTCTCCACCACCACTTCCCCTGGCTGCTCTTCCACCCCCCTATTGCTTTTCCACCTTTCCAGCTACTTTTACATCTTTCTATCTGTTCTTACACAGTTGCTTTTCCATCTTTGTAGGTACTCTTCCATCACCCCAATTGTTCTTCCATGCCCCCTGCCACTTTTCCTATCCTTCTTTCCACCCGTGCTCTGGTCAAACCTCCTGTTGCATCATCTCACAACCTCCCCCCCCTCTATCATCACCTCTGAGTTGTCCCATCCCCAATGGAAAACTTTCCTTCCCCCACTTCCCAGATGCACCTTCTTAGTCACAGCTGCATCCCAGTCCTTCCTTAGTTACATCCTTTACATCTTTTTTGAATCCCTGTCTTCACCCTCTTCCTGACCCCATTCTCTCCCCATATCTTCCACCTTGCTCTAGAGTCCGAGCTGACGTCTGCAATATGAAGTACAGGAGAGGGCAGGGCACCTCCTTGCAACCAACTGCCCCATTCCCAAAGTCTTCAGCAACCCATGGGTTTGTTGCTCAGCCTCCCACTTTCTCTTTTGGGATCATTGCAGCCTGCTCTTCCTGGCTGCCCGCTGCTGGCTGTCTTTGTTGGGTGATGGGTTTTAGCCCAGGGAGGTGAAGAGAGCAGGTGCATTAGGGACAGGATATGTGATTGCAAAAAATAACAATGGTGTGGCTAGTAACCAGAAAGAACAGGTTAAAAGCAAGCATGAAGGCAGGCATGGCAGCACTAGTGCAAGGCCAAGCTTCTGAAGTGTTTGCCTCTTGCACGTGACAAAAGCATGAAAGAAAGCACTCCTTCACTTTGGCTCTCATTCCACTCCCATTTCTGGATCTTCTAGCTCATGTGAGGACACATTCCCTATATTCCTCCAAATACATCGGTATTTGCCACAGTATGAAAGAGAGGCAGAGAGGGTGCCTGTACGTCCGGGGAACCAGTTGGCAAAAAAAAACCAACCCAGAAACAAACCCCTCACTTTTTCTGGAGCATGAAAAAGTAATTTCTACTTGTTACCAAGCTTCTGCTTATACCCACGCGATGGGAATCCATTTCTCCTTTCTAGCACCTAGTAAATCTTGATGCTTTTATTATTTTTCCCCTTTGCTGCTTGCAGGCAGTGATTGGGTTGCTACACTCCATCCTTCAGAGCAAAACCAAATTCTGTGTGCATAACTTCCCCCCTCCTTTGAATGACATCAGATGTCCAAACTCTCTTAAATCAGCCAGAAACAGCAAAGCTGAGCTTGGCTTTTTGAAGGGAAGCTGGAAGGGATGAGGGTTGGGAGCAGACCTGCACAGGGAACAGAGGCTAAAGCCAGAAACCATGTTCCTGCCGTGGAGCCCAGGAAGCAGGGTAGTAACCGCTGGCAGCAGAGATATGTGAAGTATCCCAGAGCGCGTCATCCCAGTGTTTATTTACTCTTCATGTGTGTATGCGTGGCCAGGGGCAGGCAGTGTGGTGGGGAAGGCAAAGCCATGCCACTGAAATCCAGCAGTGGCTGGGAGAGCAGGGCCTATTATTGCACCTGTGCAAGGGTTCCCCCACACAGGCCAAAGGCACCTGAGAAAGCTTTGGCGCTTGGCTCTCAACATGAATCTCCTTTCATTCCACCTGCCTCGCACTTCCCAAAGGTGCTTTGCGTGAAAACTTTAGCCACTTCCCTTGTAATACCACTGCTTTTGATTTTCTTGCGATGGGGAGCACCCGTTGAGTGAACAAGGAGAGGGATAGGAAAGCGGTTGCAGGTTTGTTTTGCAAAACCAACCCCCTGGCACTACCTGCACTTCCAGTTTGGACTCCCCAAGCGCTGCAGGGGCCTCTTTTCGGCAGGTTTTGTTCGCAGGCGAGAGATGAGCCTGGATTGGAAAGGCTGCTGCAAGAAGCCACGGGAGACCAGCAGGCTCCTCTTGAGATTTGTGTGATTGCAAAAAAGAAATAAAAAATAAATCAGGAATTCCTGAGGACGGGAGAGGGGAAAAAAGTCACTTGGCATTAGACTGGTAGCGTGTGAGAACAAAGTATATTTTCATAGGCGTGTTCCTAAGCAACAGGGCAAGAAAAGAAATGAAGTTTAACTTGAACTTTCTGGCCTCTGCCAGTTTGGCCAGCAGTATAGGGACTGTGTGCTGGGGATGCTGGCCTGGCCCTCCCATCTATCAATGACCAAAATTGGCCCTGAGCTGTGAACCGCTGAGAAAGAATCAGCACTCTGCAAAATAAACTATGTGACAGTGGCGAGGACTAGATCAAACTGCATTTCTATCTATTCCTGCCCTCGCGCTGGCCAAGTTTAAAATTGCAGATGCTTTCCTCCTTACGGAGGTGGAGATGCATCAAGCAGTACTGTAAGAGCCCAAGTCTGGGAGGCTGGGCTTGGCTCTCCTCTAGAGCAGATGTCTTGCCTAGGGATAAGATGCTTGCAGGTACAGTGCCTCAGTTTCCTCATACATATGCTGAGCACAGTAGCACTGAGAAATGCTGGAGGTACTGAGCAGAACGTGCTCCTGGTTTGTTGAGAGGTCTGAAATTAAAGCAGGTGTGGGATTAGAGGGCTTTGGTAAGGCTCATTTTAAACAGATGGATATGTAGGTACTGACAGGATGATCCCTGTAGTCCTTCCTGCCACAAGTCAGACACTGTCCTGTACTGAAAGCCAAACATCACGGCTATAATTGACTGTTCCTGGTAAAAAAACATGAATGAGCTTCATTTATGGCACAGGCTACAGGATTCTGGGTTTTCTCTGTTTTGTTTAGTTTTCCTTTGAAATATACCACATCTTTCCATTTTTCTCCCCTGTGTTCCCGCCAGACTTCCTTTTGCTGAGACAGCAAGGTCAGGCCGAGCATCGGGGAGCGGAGGGCACAGACTGAAGCCTGCTGCCCTAAAAAGGCTAGTGGAAAAACAAAGGTTGTCAAATATTTCCTTCTCCTCTCTCATTCCTGCTCTCTTTCTAGAAAGTGAGCAAGACTTGGCAAGTTTCCTCACAAAACCGTGAGCCAACGATAACCAGGAGGGGAAAGGCGGGGGCTTGCAGAATTGGCCCTAAGAAAATACTCTTTGCTGTGTCAGCTGGAAGTAGGCGGAGGAGGAGCGCTGCAGAGCCCAGATTTCCTGCAGCTTGTGTTCGGTGCAGTCCTTTATTGCTCCCCAACATATTCCCCTCCAGCCCATTCCTCCTTCCCATGCTCTTCTACTCTCCACATTTGGGGATGCGGGGCTTCAGGGGTGAGTGATGGGGATGTGGTGAGGCAGGTAGGCAGCTCCACACACTCCTCACATCCAGGGTGAGGGTGAGGGTTAGGGCAGCAGTCACGGGAGCAGGCTGTGGGACACACTGGTTTGTGCACATGTGTCACCTGGGGAGGGACCCGGCTGCTGTGAGCGGCAGGTCCTTTGTGCGAAGCAGCTCCTGAAATGTCAAGGTGAAAGCTAGTATCAACAGGCCTGCAAAACCTCAGATACGAAACAGGAAAATCTCCATTTTTCTTTTGATCTGGAGTTCCAACAACAATATATTAAAAAAAAAAAAAATAGGTGAAATCCATCAGGTGCCAGCAAGTGAGTCGGGTTTCTGCGGTGTGTGTGTGTATGGGGGAGGGAGGAATGGGGTGGTTCAAACAGGAAAGGAGGGGCCTTGGCTGGAAGGATTTTTCAGTAGCCTGGTTTCTAAGGAAGGAGGGAGAATATTAAGTAGTTGATCCAAATGAAATTCCTGCCGAGTGCCAGCAGAGTTCACCGGAGAAAAGACGTGGCTCTGTGCTTGCGTGCGTGCGTGCGTGCGTGCATGAGAGATAGAGCTGGCCCCAAGCTTCCACACAGCCCTGGACCCGCTCCAGCTTAATGAGGGGAGCCCCTCCAGAGCTTGCACCACTGCAGCAGAGAACAAGGGCTGATCTCAAACGGGAACCTCTGCAAACCTGAGGGATGCTGAAGGAAGTCATTGTGCCTCCTTGTGTCGATACTGTGCATCCTGTGCCCAGGCGACTGTCGCGGCTTTGGCACGTCAGTGGCATGAGTGGCAGAGTCATGTGCGACTGGAAGCATTTGCCTTACTGCGGAGTGAGGTGTCCCCTCAGCCTTAGCAGAAGGGGTAGGAGAGCTTGGTACCTTCTGTGCCAGTTTCAAGACATCCCTCCGGGTGTTTTGTCGCTTAGTTTGGCACACGTGTCACAGCAGAGGGGGAGGAAGAAGAGGAGAAGCAGCGCACGGGCGCTGCCTCCCATGGAGCGTGGTGCTCTGCTTCCTCCTAACGTCCGCTGGAAGTTCTACTTGCTCTGAGTCGGAAGACATCGCAGATGTAGGAGCAGCTGCAGGAGCTGTTATAGCAGTAGCACTTCCCAGAACTCTTCATGCAAACTGAAAAGCCTGG